CCAAGAGTCTGACAACATCTTAGCCCATGACCTCTCCAGAGTTTATGAAGTAGAAGCAACTCCATCCATTACTCCACCACATAACGACGTACTTCTTCCAGAACCGCAGGCTTCGGGGGAGAGTTGTGACGATAATCTCCTTCAAGAGATTGAGCCTGCTCTTCCCTCCATAATTACGTCTTCACAATTATATAAAAGACTATGGAAGAAATGTCCAACACCAACACCAGCACCAGCAAGGCTTGCCAGGGTGAGCAGAAACGTATGCAACCAGCCACCTGTTCGAACTCCAACCACCAAACTACCCGTTGATCGCTACGGCTCCGCTGATTGGTCGCCGGTCTGGCTGCACCTGCACTCGCCCCCAATACTACCTGATGTCTGGGGTCGCCCCAACATCAGTCCTCAGAATGTTCCGTGCTTTCGTAGCCAGCACTCCTCCCAGCTAGACGTTAGCGTGTACTGAGAGAGGTGGTGGCTTTAAGCCAATATTCCAGCACCTCCCACTTAACTTTTGTGTTGCACTTCTTATTATTTTGCCTTAACGTAACTTTCATTGTGTCATTTAAGTATTCTTATTATTTTGATTCATTGATTTTATTATACATATTTGTTTGTGCATTATTTTCATGTTTTGATTTATTTAACGTAATTAAAATTTCATTGTTAAAGTTTTACTTGTGTTTTGTGTGTCTTCTCCTTATAACTATGTGACGAGGCCATACCCCTAGCCTTAAACAGCCGAACACCAACGCGTTACCGTCACAAGATAAAGAGAGGAAAGAAAGTGAGGGGAGAGAGAGGGAGAAGGAGACGGGGGGGGGGAGAGAACGGAGATTGATGAAGAGATACAAGAAACTGACTTGAGGCGAATCTCATACCTTCTCGACAGCAAGAGCTTCCAAACTTTATATGAGATCCAAGTTGGCTCCCATCTTGAGTACACACCGCTCTCCTGGATGCTTAGCTCCACGTCGTTTATCATAATTTTGGACATAAAAACCCTGCTAGAAGACTCGTTTCAAATCTTGACCCATTCTGGGTGGACTGGTCAGCGCCTCCGAGCCTTCAACACAGCAGATGTCGATGGACATCGCGTTATGTACAAGACAAATGTTCTCCTGGTTCACCATCTGTCCGAACTGCCTGGACAACCAGAGGTTGGCAATCACAATACAAGACGCTCAGCCATCAATAACCTCATGCGGCTATGCTATTCTCAAGCATTTAGCTCCATTAGCGATCATTCATTCCCAATATGGACATGCATTTGGAACAAGTTTGCTCAACACGTAGGTACACGTGAACAAGTTTGCTTAACACGTAGGTACACGTTAACTCAAGACAACTAACCAGATGAAGACACTGGAACACAGTTGGCTCTTGATTCATCTTGTTCCCTACGTGATCGTTACTTAACATTAAATCTTAGTTGTTCACTGTTGTTAACGCATAAAAAGGCTCAGCAGAAAGAGTTTCTAGGGACAGGGTTCAGGTGAGCTGATGTAGGATGACAGCTCTTGGTGTGCGGTCTCAATAGGAACTTTAGCACAATTCCTTTGAACTTAGTTAAAACAAAAAGAGGAAAGAAAAGATAGAAAAAGAAATAGGGGATTTTGAGAGGAATGTTCATAAGAAGAAAGGAAAGATGGGAAAATGTAATATTGAAGAACCAATAGATAGGGAGATATTGAGATACGAATAGAGGAAGAGCTAGTAAGCGAGAGTGCAAGGGGAGAGGCAGCCGTGAACGCTAGGTTTTCAATAAGGGGAAATTTCTCATACATAAACCAGCCATTTGAGTCCAGGAACGTAAGATATGAAATTCACATATAGATGATCTCGGTATAGGGAGGGAGGGAAAGTGGAGTGGTAAAAGCTACCAATAACCTCCGCTGGGATAGGGTAGAGAGTAGAGGCAGCAAGCACCTGTGCTAAACCTGCAGCGGTGTTCGAGAGTTTGTCTACTGCCGCAGCCCTGTGCGAGGGGCTAGCTACCCATTGTTCTACATGTTCATCAAAGTCTAACCAGAAGCTACAATCACTAAAATGTCAATATTTGGTCAAATGTGGTTGATGATTTAATCCCATCAAGAGTCATATAAAACTGATATTATGTTTACCCACCTATAGTGTGTTGGTCAACAGTAACCCAAACATTGCAGTGCCAGAAGTACCTCAAGCACTTAATCAGCCAATCGATCAATGTTGACCAATCCACACACTAGAAAATGAAGGGACGACGACGTTTCGGTCCGTCCTGGACCATTCTCAAGCCACAATCGACTTTAGAATGGTCCAGGACGGACCGAAACGTCGTCTTCCCTTCATTTTCTAGTGTGTGGATTGACCAACATACTTTAGCCACGTTATTGTGACTCATCGCCTGCAATCGATCAGTGATCAATAGAGAAACAATCGTTTTGAATAGAAATATTAACTCCCTATGAAGCATATGATTTTTTTTAGCATAATAAACAGGTTTCCGAAATTAAGACGAGTTTTAACAGCCGGTTGCTGGAATGCTGCGAATTTTAATGTGCATTATTAATTAAATGTGTAATTAATAAATTAATGTTAATTAACTTTGTTAATTGTTTAGTATGGACTTGTTGGTCCATAGAGCTGAGAGACTGTTGTTGTTATTGTTTACTGCTCTGTTGTTGTTGTTATTGTTTACTGCTCTGTTGTTGTTGTTATTGGTTACTGCTGTTATTGTTTGTTATTGTTTGTTGTTGTTATTGTTTACTGCTCTGTCATTGTTTGTCGCCTTGTAACCGTAACTGTTACGGTTTGCTGTGTTGTTATTGCTTGTCGTTTTGAACATCGTTCCTCAACCATGGCGATATTATTGATACTTGTTCCAAATTGAAGAGCACTACGAGGTTGTTTACAAGAATGAACAGCTTCGCTTAATGTAAACAAGACCGCCATGACTGAGGAGGAGGAACTATCAGGAGACAGTGCCAAGACATTACGATTTTATAGAACTGGGAAGGGGTCACGATAAGGATTTGGGATGGGACGGTGGAAAGGAATGGTGCCCAACCACTTGTGGACGGTCGGGGATTGAACGCCGACCTCCCCCATGACTGAGAAAAGATGTACAGGTGTCTTAAGTGGTCACGTTATTCCTTGATGAATGCTGGCCCTGGAATACATTCTGAGTATAAAGAACAGGTAATACACGCCAAACCACGACCAAACTACGACGTCGCTACAACGACCGAACAAATTTTAACACTTAACAAGTTGTAACAACGTTCTAATGCGTCATAAAAACGTTATACCAAGGTATACCAACTTTATTACAAGTTGTAACAAGCGGAAAATAGGAACAGTTACGTTTTGTGTTTGCAGGGAAATGCCATAATAATATGGACAAGGGTCTGGAGCTCTTGCAAGTATGTGAGCTGAGCCCAGGAGCGGCACGTCGCTGCCCTCAAGTGTGACACATTGTAGAGATGCCGGTGGAGGCGCTCCGGCCCAAGACTTGGAACAAGCATCTCCAGGAAATACCTGATCAACCTCAAGTACTCGCGGCTAACCTGGTGGGAAGATACACAGCCTGGTTGATCAAGTCTACCAAATCTAGCTACGGATTAATATACGGGCGAGTTCCTCAAGTGTCCGGTTGGACTTGGCGGCTGGGGATGACCCCAATTTGTGGTGGCTTCCCGCTGGATGGTAGCCATCACATGGTGTGGCGGACGCTGTGCGGGGGTAGTCAAGAGGGGGAAGGATCGGGGGTGGCGGAGTGGAGGGGTTATTTACACCAGGAAATTTGATGTTGGCAGATACGCGGCCGGTGTGTGAGGCTAAGACATACACGACGCTATCTGGGCGTGAGCCGCGGGGACTGACGCAGTCGCCACCGGCCTACCGCAGCCAGGAGGCCGCCCACCGCAGCCAGGAGGCCGCCCACCGCAGCCAGGAGGCCGCCCACCGCAGCCAGGAGGCCGCCCACCGCAGCCAGGGGGCCGCCCACCGCAGCCAGGGGGCCGCCCACCGCAGCCAGGGGCCGCCCACCGCAGCCAGGGGGCCGCCCACCGCAGCCAGGGGCCGCCCACCGCAGCCAGGGGGCCGCCCACCGCAGCCAGGGGGCCGCCCACCGCAGCCAGGAGGCCGCCCACCGCAGCCAGGAGGCCGCCCACCGCAGCCAGGGGGCCGCCCACCGCAGCCAGGAGGCCGCCCACCGCAGCCAGGGGGCCGCCCACCGCAGCCAGGGGGCCGCCCACCGCAGCCAGGGGGCCGCCCACCGCAGCCAGGGGGCCGCCCACCGCAGCCAGGAGGCCGCCCACCGCAGCCAGGAGGCCGCCCACCGCAGCCAGGAGGCCGCCCACCGCAGCCAGGAGGCCGCCCACCGCAGCCAGGAGGCCGCCCACCGCAGCCAGGAGGCCGCCCTGAAAGTGGAGGAGGAATTATTTCCTAGAGTTGCCTGTTTCCTCCTCCACCCAGATGGAGGAGGAAAGGAAGCAGGAAAAGGAGGAAGAGGGTGTAGAAGAGGGGTATGAGAGGGGGAAGGGAGAGAGGGAAAACAAAGTAGAAGTGGGTATGGGGAAGGAGAGAAGTTAGGTAACCGAGAGGGAATGGAAGGGAGGCCGGGAGTTTGAGGGAGAGACGAAGGGTAGGGAGGGGAGGGAGGGGAGGGGAGGGGGGGGGGGTATGCCCCGGGAACAAACAGTATGTGCAGTCATTTTTTTCTGTCTATTTTCAATTCTTTTTACCATTTAAAAATGTTGCATGTTTTGAACCTTTTTTTTCCTTCCAACATTTTTAAATATCTAAATGATGAATTTTAAACTTTTTTTATTTTTTTTTTACACCATATACCTATAGAAATGTTATATATATATATATATATATATATATATATATATATATATATATATATATATATATATATATATATATATGTCGTACCTAGTAGCCAGAACGCACTTCTCAGCCTACTATGCAAGGCCCAATTTGCCTAATAAGCCAAGTTTTCATGAATTAATCTTTTTTCGACTACCTAACCTACCTAACCTAACTTTTTCGGCTACCTAACCTAACCTAACCTATAAAGATAGGTTAGGTTAGGTTAGGTAGGGTTGGTTAGGTTCGGTCATATATCTACGTTAATTTTAACTCCAATAAAAAAAAAATTGACCTCGTACATAATGAAATTGGTAGCTTTATCATTTCATAAGAAAAAAATTAGAGAAAATATATTAATTCAGGAAAACTTGGCTTATTAGGCAAATCGGGCCTTGCATAGTAGGCCGAGAAGTGCGTTCTGGCTACTAGGTACGACATATATATATATATATATATATATATATATATATATATATATATATATATATATATATGGTGTAAACGTGGGCCTCACAAGGCTCGTCGAGTGCCACATGTTCTCTTCACCAAGGCGATGGTCTTCACACTGTCAGAGGTGGTATCCAACCCAACTTACAGGAGTGGTATGAAGTACACTACCACTCGCAGGACGGATCCGGGGCCCAGTATCATTAACAGGAGGGGACGTGTCGTCCATAATAAATGAACTAAACCTCAATAAACATGTACTGTATCTGATGTGTCTATTGTGTGTGGGCGACGGCTCTGTGTGGGGCGATACACGCCTCACACATGTGATCAACAACAGGAATTGAAAAATTGGTGTGTGTGTGGGGTGTGGTGTGGTGTGGTGTGTGTGGTGTAGTGTGGTGTGTGGGGGTGTGGTGGGGTGGGGTGTGGTGTGGTGTGTTCACCTAGTTGTTTACCTAGTTGTGCTTCCGGGGGTTGAGCTTTGCTTTTTCGGCCCGCCTCTCAACTGTTTTTGGCTGGCCAGCCTCTCAACTGTCAATCAAAAACCTCTCAACTGTTACAATCAACTGTGTGTGTGTGTGTGTGTGTGTGTGTGTGTGTGTGTGTGTGTGTGAGAGAGAGATCAGATCACCTGGCAGGTACTCCTTCATAGGGGGTCTCAGAGTACTAGGACGCGAGTTGCAGCAGGTAGGATCAGCGCCAGCTGGTGAAACACAGGGGGCCAAACAAACTATAAAAACAAAACTGTACGCTGTGGGCGCGCGGAGAAGTGGGCGTGAAACACAATTCACACCGTGATGGCCAGATTTTGCAATACCTGAATGTGTGCGCTTAAATATGCATGGATACCCGCGCTCAAGTTTTTTTTTTTTTATTTTTTTTTTTTGTGTGTGTGTGTGTGTGTGTGTGTGTGTGTGTGTGTGTGTGTGTGTGTGTGTGTGTGTGTGTACTCCCCTATCACGACAGTTAGCTTACAGGCGCCGCATTTCCAGTCATCAGTCGTTTAATACAACCACTTGTTCCCTCACTTTGCTCCAGTCTTCACTTTTGATACAGTTCACTTTGTCTTATGATGTTTAAGATTCGCTACCTGGATCAAGAAGTTCCAATAGCACGGGCTATGGTGAGCCCGTAGTGGGTGTCTTATGTGTATCTTCTAAGCGTTCCACTTGTTTGAAACACTCATTTGTCTCTGTAAATTCCAGCCGTGTTCAGTAATTGGACTGGTTCCGACCGTGTCTAGTAATGTATTTACTATTTCTCCCTGTTGGATCGAGCTGTTAGCTGTTGGACCCCGCCTTTTCAACTGTCGGTTGTCGAATGTACCACCTCCCGACCTATTTTCCTCTATTCCTTATTTTCCTACTACATATGTTTATCTCTAACACACACACGCGCGCGCGCGCGCATACACACACACACACACACACACACACACACACACACACAAGGGGCCTCGTAGCCTGGTGGATAGCGCGCAGGACTCGTAATTCTGTGGCGCGGGTTCGATTCCCGCACGAGGCAGAAACAAATGGGCAAAGTTTCTTTCACCCTAAGTGCCCCTGTTACCTAGCAGTAAATAGGTACCTGGGAGTTAGTCAGCTGTCACGGGCTGCTTCCTGGGGTGTGTGTGTGTGTGGTGTGGGAAACAAAAAAAAAATAGTAGTTAGTAAACAGTTGATTGACAGTTGAGAGGCGGGCTGAAAGAGCAAAGCTCAACCCCCGTAAAAACACAACTAGTAAACACACACAGGCCACAAGGAATCTGTTGGAACTGAATGTGACAAAGGCTGTTGGGCCTGACAGAATCTCACCATGGATACTAAAAGAAGGTGCAGAGGCACTAAGTGTGCCACTCTCTATGGTGTATAACAGGTCACTGGAAACAGGAGACCTACCGCAAAGTTGGAAGACAGCTAATGTGGTCCCAATATACAAAAAAGTGCAAAAGGCACTGAATTATAAGCCAGTTTCCCTAACTTGTATACCATGCAAGGTGATGGAGAAGATCGTGAGGTAAAGTCTCGTAAAGCATCTGGAGGGAAATAGTTTTGTGACACCACCAACATCGGTTCAGAGTGATAAATAGTGCCTCACGGGTTTAATAGAATTCTATGACCAAGCAACAAAAATTAGGCAAGAAGGAGAAGGGTGGACTGTCAGAAAGCCTTTGACACACAACCCCCATAAAAGGCTGTTACAAAAGTTGGAGCAACAGGCAGGAGTTAAAGGTAAGGTGCTCCAGTGGATAAGGAAGTATCTAAGTAACAGGAAACAGCGAGTAACTCTGAGGAGATATACATCGGAGTGGCGAGATGTCACCAGCGGAGTCCCACTTAGACCCATCCTGTTTCTAATATATGTAAATGATCTTCCAGAGGGTATAGACTCATTCTTCTCAATGCTGAAGATGCAAAAATTACGAGAAGAATCAAGACAGATGAAGATAAACAGAGACTACAGGACGACCTGGACAAACTGGAGGAATGGTCTAGAAAATAGCTGCTAAAGTTCAACTCAGGAAAGTGTAAAGTAATGAAATTAGGCGAAGGAAGCAGAAGGCTGAACACAAGGTACCATCTGGGAGGTGAAATCAAGCAAGAGTCAAATAGAGAGGAAGATCTGGGGGTTGATATCACACCGAACCTGTCCCCAGAGGCCCACATCAACAGGATATCATCAGCGGCATATGCTAGGTTGGCCAACATAAGAAATGCCCTTAGAAACCTGTGTAAGGAATCGTTCAGGACCCTGTATACCACTTATGTCAGACCAATCCTGGAATATGCAGCTCCTGCCTGGAGTCCATATCTAGTTAAACACAAGACAAAGTTAGAGAAGATTCAGCGGTATGCCACCAGACTTGTCCCGGAACTGAGAGGTATGAGCTACGAGGAAAGGCTGAAGGAGCTGAACCTCATGTCCCTGGAAAACAGAAGAGTAAGGGGAGACATGATAACCACTTACAGAATTCTCAGGGGAATTGACAGGGTTGACAAAGACAAACTCTTCAGCACGGATGGAACACGAACAAGGGGATACAGGTGGAAACTTAGTACCCAAATGAACCACAGTGACAATGAAAAAATTCTTTCTAATGTCTGAGTAGTTAGTAAATGGAATGCACTAGGAAGTGATGTGGTGGAGGCTGACTCCATACACAGTTTCAAGTGTTGATATGATAGAGCCCAGTAGGCTCAGGAATTTGTACACCAGTTGATTGACAGTTGAGAGGCGGGACCAAAGAGACAAAGCTCAACCTCCGCAAGCTCAAATAGGTGAGAACACACACACACACACACACACACACACACACACACACACACACACACCACACACACACACACACACACACCAGGATGCAGCCCGTAGCAGCAAATTCCTAGGTACCTATTTCCTACAAAGTAAACAGGGGTCATAAAGTGAAAAATTCTCCCCATTTGTTTCTGCCTCGTCCGGGAATCGAACCCGGGGCCCTTACGACTACGACCCCTGAACCAACTCGGCGTCAAGGTCACTTGTGTGGGGTTATCTTACCTTATCTTGAGGTGATTCCGACGATCAGTGTGCCCGCAGCCTGGTTTGAGAGCTTGCACGCGATCGTGCGTGCTCTCAAAATGCGCTGGCACGATCGAATATCAGCCCCTGAGACACTCTTTTGACTGGCCCCGCGTGCTTTCAGAAAATATCTCGACATAAACTTCAGTTCAACTGTGTCTCCTTCCAATCCGATTCTTTTACGTATAGCTACGCTGAAGAGGTGCATATATATGTTTGCCTCGTGAGAATATACGTGTTCGTGTATATGTGTGCTTGCAGGTGTGTGTATGTGTGAGCTTGTGTGGGTGCATACAGTCAAGCTGTGCGCCACGTGTGTATGTAAATCCCGGCCAATTTACATTTGTGAATATTTCAGCCTGCTGGGAATTTATTTCTCTGCATCCATTTGTCAGGAATTTTGCTGACATTTTTCAGACGTTGTTTTGTGTGCGTTTCTGTGCATCAGGTCTTTGTCACCGTTGTCACCTGTGTGTGTGCTCTGAGGGCGAGGTTTCAGCTATGATTCCCGCCATTTTGTCGTCTATTGCAGTGACTCATGGCCCTGTTAATTCTCATCGCACC